ATTTGAATCTAATCGATAAGAATGAAAATTTTCCGACAGTGTGAGATGGAAAGAACATGCCTTATTTCATCTTAGTAAATAGCAAGCGAAAATGAATGGTACGTGATATTTGTTTGGCTGCCTTAAAGAAAAGAAAGCACGGAGAAATAAATAGAACTCGAGATAGTTAGTCAATGTCTCTTTTGTATCTTTGATTAAACAAATAGAAAATGATGTTATTCATGACTAGTGGTGCTCAATTAAATCTTCTTTGAGCAATCATCAAGCGTATTGTTGAAAGTCATTGCCTTACATCTACTGAGTAAGATCATTGAGTATATAAAGGCGCGTCATAATTTTAGTTTGATCGATCCTTAGGAAGAGGAGTGTTAGATATGTCGCATATCTTATTATGAATAAATTTCTGAAGGGACTGAAACTGATTTTTTTTTTATCGTATTTGAAGAAAAGTATATTGTCTTTCACAAAATTCACTACATTGAACAAACTCCGCTGCTCGATTTTTAATAAATGTGTAGAATTTTAATAATGATGCTTTGTGAATAGTTATAAACAAAAAAAGAAAAAACTTAAAAGAGACGACTTCTTTTTTTGTTGTCTTCTTATATTATCTTTTACATCGAAAAATGTAATTCTAAGAAGAAATTTTACTTTATGTCAAACTACTGTAAGTAATACTATTTTTATCTAAAAAAGACGAGATCAGTCAAATTATTTTTTGTTAAATAGAATTGCTCAAATTCGATTTCATCGAACAGTATGCACGTATGGTTCATTAGCTCGTTTTACATTCTATATGTGAAGAATCAAGTAGTTCATTATTCACAATATTTTTAAAAAGTTTTGTACTGATATAAGATTATTTCTATGAATATTTACTATCATAAGGATATCGATATCAGTTATTAATATTTTTCAAAACAAATTTCTAAGGAAAAAAAATATTGTATTGATCATTTGATATGATCAATCAAATAGAGATTTTTTTCGAATAGATTGATTCATTTTATAAAGGTGAAACATCCATCTAGAAAAAAACAAAAAAAAATTTTTTTTTATAGTTCTACTGTTATAAATGAATATTATATAAATAATTCTCGAATAATCGTATCTATCATACAATAATTAATACTTCGCTATTCTGTTTTATAAAGAAACGAAAAAAAAAAAACAACAAAGTTCAACTTGTCATATCACATATAATTACATTGTTTCTATGATTAATGCATATGCCAGTTTCCGCACGACGAAGCATGTATCCAGATCGTTGCTCATGAGACAAACTATTCATTTTTATACTTCAAAATATACTAGAGATATGAAGAGAGAATAGACGCAATAAGATTTTTAATATCATGACTTATGCATTATTAGTAGTAGTGGAATTACAGGTAATCATGCGATAATGATAATTAAAAATTTTAAGTCTTTTTTTCAAGATGTATAAATGTCTTCGTCGGTTCGTTAATCTCGAGTTATACGAAAAATAATATATTATGATCAAAGCATCACCTTTTATGATAGTAATAAATGCGACAAGACTATACCTCTTTGTATTTAATTGATAATAGACTGTTCTTGATTACGAATAGTCATTTTTATATACATGATATTTTTTTTTAAATGCACTCATCTTAATAAAAGTCAAACATAGAAAACCTATCATAATTACACTTTATGATTTATAGGATAATCTAATTACTCGTGAGTGTATACTGTAATCTCTCTATATATAATAGAGTCCTTTTAAGATAATTAAAAAGCTTATTTTTGCACTCAATTGTTAAACACTTGTAGATTTTTCTCTGCCTATCAAACAGTCTTTCAATTAAGCTTACTGTAAATCATCGTCGTTTCCATTATCTATCTATTTAAATTTTACCACGTTTCTGAATAATAAATATAAAATTTTTATTTCGTTGTCAACTTTTAGAATCCTAATTAAATGAACTGAACAATAAAGAGAGTACTTCAAGATGTTTGTTTGTTTTTTTTTCATCAATTATGTATTTTTTTGCAGATGGATATACTTAATAATGAAGCAAAATGATTAAAACAATCTGTAAAAAGGTATGTTAATCATATTCAGCAAAATGATCTTGTATTTATTCCGTCAGCAATAATATTATTAAGCTTGTTAAGTCTATTGTTTTTTTTTTGTTTTATTATGAAAGATTTTACATTGATTTTTGTATTATTCATATTAATAATAATGGATTATTTTTTTATGAAAGAGAAAATTAATAAATAAAGATTTGTTATTTTATCGATTAATATATGAAAATAGAAATTTCAATTATATATAAGACTATTTCATAAATCATTAAAAAAATATAAATTTATTGTCATGTATAAAAAGATTTAGAAAAATAAATCGGATTATATTTGATCACATACAACTACAAGTGTCGAACTTTTTCCATGTGCTATTAGGTCAACATGTTATAGAAACTTTCTGTCTTTAAACCTATTATCAATTTCTATTGTTTGAGAAAAAAACAATTCATATTCTTCTTTTTTTTTGTTTTTTTTCTATAACTTCTTTTGTTTAGTTTCTAGAATGAGAATAGTTTTTCGATTGAAAAGTTAAACAAAATTCCTTCATTAATGTCAAACTATTCCGGTCACAATTGATAACCTTTTGCAAACTATCATGAAAACTACTCAATAATAACAAACGATGATACTGAATTGAGATAAAGTTAGATATAAAGAATATAATAGTATTTTTTAGCTTCGAGGCCAATGACAACTATTCTTTCTATTATAAATAGGAAAAAGAATAATAATTAATGCTCGTTAAAAAAAAATGATTAGATTCGTTTAAGTTTGTTGATTGCATGCAAACTAAATAAAGACAAGAACAGTAAATAACAATTTGACACTTATGTGCATAAATACAAATAGCAATTTGATTATAATGAAGACTAATAATAAGGTCACATTGTTAAAACAAAAATATGTCTAGTTGATATTTTAATAAATATATACGTCTTTTATTTCTAATGAAATATAAATCTTTCTTTTTGTGTTTGTTCTCCTATGTGTTTTGATAAATACGAAGAAGATGAACAATATGACAACAATTGACTAGTAAAAGAAAGTTAAAACGGAAGTCAATAATCAATCTAGCATTCGTGCATGTCTTAACTATATGCTTATTATCCTAGTCATCATCATTATTATTGTTTGGGACGAGTGTAGTCACTATTTGTTGACATTCCTTTTTTTTTCTTTTTGATTGATTCTGTTAGCTTTGCTCTTGTCGTTCATTTCACAGTAGAAATAAAACAAACATTGTTAGAAGAAAAAAACAATCAGATCTTGATCACACTCGACACACTTACATAACTAACATTTCAGTTCGATTCGGAATAAATATACAATGAAAAGTAGACAGCTTTTGACACAACGGTAAATTTTTTCCTCCGTCTTCCTGTTTTTGTTCGTCATGCAATTCTTTCATTGAAGCACAAACGATAAATTTTGCGTATATTCGCTCCGCTAGTTAACTATGAAGCAAAGGAAAGAGAGTATAAATGTGTGCTTGCTGTTTTTTTACATTGCGAACACAAACGGAAGAAAGAGTATGTAGCGTACGCTATGGAAAAATATCGGATGACAATAGATGGAAAAGAATCGAGCTCTATCCGACGTGTGTTGTGCGCTCAAAGTAATAAGCGACGAAATGACGGAGTAGACTAGGAAAAGAAGAAGAAGAAGAAGAAGAAGAAGAAGAAGAAGAAGAAGACGAAGACGAAGACGAAGAAAAAGAAAGCGAACAAGCGCTTGAATAACCGTTTGGAAAATTGATTTTTATAAATAATTGAGCAAAGAGGAAGTATAAGAAGAAAGAAAGCAGAAGAGCGATGCTCTTTGTGTTGTGTGAATGGCTTTTCGAGATCAGCATTTGACACAAAATATTTTTCTGTTACGTTAATGCTTTAAAAATAGATGCATTGGTGCATTACATATATTACTATGTTATGTAAATAGGATGTTTTCAAATATTTTTTTTTGTTCATTTGTTTAATTGGGTTTGTACATGTAACACTTATCGAAATGTCTATGAGAGTAGATTCATACTACAACTGCTAATGTTCTAATGCGAGGGTCATATTCCCTAGAGACAAAAAGACATAAAGAGCAGCAGAGAGTTAGCAAATGAGAAGACACGAGAGATGCGCGAACAAGTATGCCTCTGGTGCTTCGATGATGATACATTGATTAGATAAAAATTGTTAAATGCAAAAGCGAATAACCCTCTATTATTTATCATTGTTCTTTATATATATATATATCTATATATCTATATATATATGAACCATATTTACTTTGAAAACATCTATTCGAGCATAGGAAATGCATCGATGTTCATTATATTATCTTATTTCAATATATATATATATATATATATATATATATATATGAAGTCAAAAGCGTACACCTGATACAAATCAACGAATAGTTGATGTACTACATATGTGGATGTATGTATAATGTAGCCGATAGGGCTACAAACGCCTATGAGAAACCTGTTTTATTAGAAGACTATTTTCAATCTCTCTCTCTCTCTCTCTTTATTTCTCTATCTCTTGGCGTCTCTTGCTTAGTTGTCGCTATATAGCTGATAAGGGAAAAGATGCGACATGAAAATACAATATTCCCTCTTGTTGCTGTTTGACTAAGGCTCTTTCGCGTTCCATTTCTCCTCCTCCTATTTTCTCTTTTTTTTTCTTTTTTTTTTGCCTTGATCGACTATTTCACGATAATAACTACCGCACTGACGTGCATCATCATTTTCATCGAAAATGAAGACGCTCATCTAATCATTTTCTCGTTCGTCATCATTCTATTTACAACTTATCATCAACATCATTCCAAGATTGATTGACAAACTCTATCACTATTACCGTTATATTTTGATTTATTCTTTTGTACACATATAAATACAAAAAAATAAAAGATAATATACGTTCATTTTCCTAATTCATTATATAATGGGTCAACGAATGACACGTCGACAAGTTGATGAAGGTCTTGAATTATATGCACAAAAAAATTATGATGCTGCCATTAAAAAATGGACAACAGCATTACCTAAAATGAAAGATAATCGTTTACGTTTTTCTACACTTGGTCATTTAGCATCAGCATCACGTGATCGTGGTCGAAATAAAGATTATCTTGTTCATGCTGTACAACAAATTGATATAGCTCATGAACTTGATGATAATGTACTTCGTGCTCAAGCTTATTTAAATTTATCACGTGCTAATGAAATGCTTGCTGATTATTTTAAAGCTGTAAGCTATTCACGTTTAGCTATACAATATTCACAAACAACGGATTCTATACAAGGTTATGCTTTACTTGTTATGGCTGATTCCTATATAGGTTTATGTAATTTTCCAAAAGTACTTGAATGTCTTGATAAATCGTTATATATTTCACATGAAAGTGAAGATCATTTAATGGAAATTCAAGTACTTAACACAATGGGAAAAGTATTTCTTGCATTAAAAGATTTTCCGAAAGCACTTGCATTTCAACGTCGTGCACATGAATTAGCTTTATCTAATGCTGTCTATGCCGGTGAACAAAATGCTAATATTAGTGCAAAATTTGTACGTTTAACAAAATTAAAATTAGCAACACCATTAAGATTAATGGGTGATCTTCAAGGTGCAACTAAATGTGTTGAGGTTATTTACATAAAAATATTTATCTTCTTTTTTTATAGAATTTCAAAAAAAAAAAAAAGAAAATTATTTCTATTTATTATAATAGGAAGCAATGCGTTCAGCATCTAGTCTTGGCGATCGACCTGTTCAAGCGAAGTGTCTCGTATGTCTTGGAGATATTCAACGTTCTCAAAATAATAATGAGGTAGATAGAGAATCACATACAATTCGTGATGATAAATCGCTTTTGTGTGTGTTTTATATATATATTACTATTATTAAATAAACATCCCAGTGAGTTCAGGAAACGGCATGTTTCCGTTTTTAAGAATTTTTATTGTCTAAAACAAAAAGTCATCTATCATGATGGAATGCTTTTCTTTTTCTTTAACGAAAAATAGCCATCGAAATATAATTAAATGTATGTGAACCTATTTAAACGATAAAATTTCCATTTCCTTAACTCATTGGAACCTAGTTTGACTTAAATATTTTTTATTATCTTTTATAATTATATATCAAGGTCGCTTGTAAAAAATATGAAGCAGCCATTCAAATGTTACAAGATATGAACGATCGATATAGTTCTACGCTTGCCATGCTTGGTCTTGTTAAGACTTTATTGGCACCCGATACACATACACAAATGGTAAGCGTTATTTTTCTTTCTTCTTTTACTTTATGTATAGACAATTGTCATTGTAATTTTCTATATGAATGAAAACTTATAATAATAAGAATGACAAATAAATATTCATAGATATATGACGACAAAACAAAAATGAAGAAGAATAATAAGAATGTTTTTCAAATTAACATCTTAATAAGTTTCTTTTGATGAATAACTTATTCATGCCATCATTGGTACTACAATCATAACAATTAGATTTGATGAGAACATTGGTTTCTTTTCTTTTTATTTTGCTCGTAGGTGTACTAATGATAATTAATTCATTTACTGTCTTAAATAAAAGAAAAACGAGACAGATAAGATCGGCTTTAAGGGATATTTTCTTTTTTTTTTTTTTGCTTCTATTATAAAACAAATGAGTTCGACGTGCCCATTGACAATGATATTCTTTAATAAAACAAAAGGACATATTTGTAAGCACGTACAAAATCTAAATGAAAATGGATAGATAAATTTTAGTATCAAGAAAATTTTATTTTCTGTTTTATAGGCATCTGAAATTCTTGCAACAGCATTATCAACTGCAACATCAATGGGAAATAAATTAATGCAAGCTCGATGTCATCTATTAAATGAACGTATACTTACTTCTGACAATCAATTAGAAGACGCACGACAGGCATTTGAAATAGCACAACGTCTTTATCGAGAAATTGATCTTATATGTACCATTTGTAAAGAACCTATGGGTATGTATCCAGATCAAATACAAATTTTAACATGTACACATATTTTTCATGAAAGGTAAAAGGAGAGAAAAAAAAGTAAACTTTTTAAATATATATATTTTTTTTTCGTTAATTTTTAGATGTATTTTAAATTTATTACAAAGATGGACATATGAAGCACAATCATGTCCTAAATGTAATAAAAGTGTTTTACATAGTAGAAGTTATATTGCACTATCTTTGTTCTGATATAATGAAATTTTTTTCTTTCTTTTTTTTTTTGAAAATTTATTTCAATTTGTTTTCTCGGTGAAATTTTGTAAAAAAAAAATAAAAAAGTTAATCATATGATAATATATTGATATTGACAATATCATAATTATTTTTTTTTTGGAATATTTATTAAAAACTAACATCTATTTTTCTACTAAGTTTTCCTTCAGAAACAAGTTTATTTATTACACTATATGTTTGAAATGTTGGTTCATCATAATAATATTTTTTGCCATATCCATCAGTAATAAATTTAGATGTATCTAAACCTATATAATTCATTAATTCAATTGGTCCCATGGGATAATCATCGCCTAATTTCATTGCAATATCAATATCTATAATCGAAAATGAATAAATTATAAGAAATCTAAAATTAAAAATATCACCTTCAGCTGTTGTATCACTACGTCGAATCATTCGAACTATTTCAGCATGATAAGGTATTAATAATCGATTAACAATGAAAATCTGGAATACAACGATTAAACAACAAAATTAATTATACTATAACAAACTTTGCAAGAAACAGTCGTTTTTTTTTCTAATGCTTTATCATTGTTTGAAATGTTTCATCACTTGTTGATGATATACGAATGACTTCAAGTAATTTCATAGCTGGTATAAGAAATAAATAACGAGTACATCATAAATAATAGCACCATGTATATTTTCTATTTGTTTCAGTCATCTTTGCAGATAGAAAAACTGCACTTATGAGAAAAGTCCCCGAATGGATTAATTGCTTTTAAATTAAGAGTATGTGCAGTATGTAGACCCTAATGGATTATAAATATTTCGAAAAGAGTTGAAATCTATAGCTTATTGCGGTCGGCACATGACATTTTTATGGTATGTTTCAATACAATGAAGAACATCAGGAAAACTGAATTTTTGAATTTCATCGCAAGATACAGTCATGGTAAAAGTGCGCCTTTTACATCGTTTAGATACATCCGCAAATGCGATGTTTTTAATTCAGGACAAGAACAGATCAAATAGTCTGATACTATTCTTGTTAATGCTTGCTCCCAGGCAAAATTTCAAGTCGAAATTCGAAAATCAGTTTTCTTAGCGTTCTTCATTCTATTGAATAATACCGGAAAAATGCACTATATTGGCAACAATCAGCTATAGACTCGAACTCGTTTCCTAGTACTCATAAACCATTAGGGTCTACATCATGCATACGCTTCCGGCTCAAAAGTAATTAGTCAATTGAGAGACTTCTTTCATTAGTCTCAAAAGATTAACTATTCAATTGTCTACAAAATCATGTGAAAGCATTAGGTCTAATCTTAAAAGTCGTTTCGAGAACCGAATAGCACTTAGCGTCTCTAATTTGTATCCATTTCTAGTATACAATAAATCCTATTCATGTTTTTGTTCTCTATTACTTTAGTTTTTCGGAATATCTCTATTTATTATCTGGCAGTCGATCACCAGCTGTGTCTGGAAGTCATTATAGACCAATTATCCCATCATATACCGATACGTAGAAGGATCGGCCATTTTCAATGAAAGTTTACGATAATCATCGCTTTGAATCAATATCAGAGTGACATATTCCAATGTAAAGTTTTGATCAGTTTGCAAGAAAGGAAGATGAACAACTTATGATAGAAGTTGAAGCCGGTATTTAGTGAAAATGAGTATTTCTACTAAATATACGGTTTGCTACTCATTATAAAGAAGTTCGTTTCTATGTCATACTGTTCTTTGGAAGTATCTATTATTGCACATCATGTGAAAGATGTGTACCTATTAATATAATAAAGTTTCTATACCATGTCTCGTTCGCCTAAAGCAAAGTACCGAAAATTGTTTGATAAACATTCTATAGAAATCAATAAATATTTTGAGACACTAAATGTTCTTCGATAACTTTTAAGATTAGATCTAATGTTGTCATGTGATTTTATAGAATATTTTCGAGAAGACAAAAAGAAAAAGAAAGTTTAACAGTAAAACAAAACAAACTTTGGTACAATTTGATGAATTTGTTTAAATAATTTTTATTTTGTTTCAAGATTTTCAATAATAAAATCTGTTGATTTAACAGCATGATTAACATTTAAACTTGTTTTAATACGATTTTTAATATCATTTTAATATTTTTTACCATTTTTCTTGATCTTTATCAATTTTTTAAAATTATATGCTTTAAATTTGTTTCAATTATATTTAAATTTTTATCAAGAAATTCTTATTTTTTTTGATCAATAAGTATAACTTGATGATTAGTTGTAGCCGCAACCTATTCGAAAATTTTTAACTATAAAAAATTTATTTTAATAAAAACTTGCTTGTGCTATTTCTGAACCCATTAGATCACTTCCAATGGTAGTTACTGTTTTAATAGTTCCTCGAAGTGAACTAGTTATCTAAAAAAGTAAATAATTTTTCGTTGCTTTTTCTTATTTTTTCTTCTTTTTAAAATCTTATTTAACAAAAAAAGACACCTATTATTTAAAAAACGAGTTACATTAGTACACGTGAATGTATTGTTGCTGGTCGACGACAATAACAACATTCTTCATGTTGTTGTTCAGTTAATTTTGCAAAACATTCACCACACATGGGACAATGTTGACATGGATTATATTCATATGTAGCTACATTTCCATAACATATTTGACAATTATCTTCAATTATATCCGAATTATGTGTTGTTGAACGTGACATACTTCGACTTGTCATTGTTGATAATCGTGAATTAATTCGTTTTACTGGTATACGACTATTTTTACTTACTGATGGACCTTAAATTTTGATTATATGTATACAAGAGATGATGCAAAAATTTTCTATTAATTTTGTTTTTCACTATAGCATGATAACAAGTCGTCCTAGAGGTTTAATAGTTTTCTTGTTAGAAAGAGTAATGTCTCTGCTAAAAATTGTTTAAAATTATTCTATTCAAAATATTTATCGAAGACTGACAAGTTCTTTTCATGCTTCTGGAATATAGAAGAAAATCTTCGTCTATTAAGAAACTTGGTGTTTTTTTTCTATCGTTTATCGGGTTTTGTAGCGCTACGATAGGGCATAGTAGACAGGTCAAAATAAAATTTTTCAAGTTATTGATTGACAAGAGAATCTTTGCAGATGTCAAATTACTTTTCGACCAAAAAAAAGTTCATTTGATGAATATTAATGAGTGATAGAAAAGTTTAGAATGGTTTGGTTTTTCGGACCTGCGTTCTTGATATATTGAAATTTTACCAGACTCTTCCATCCTCTTCACGCCATGCAGAAAATCGACTTTCAACTTTCGACTTCAAACTTTGCATCAACAAAGTTTTCGATGTGATTAGTTGATTGCTCAACTAGTATTTCCTTTCTGGAGATGTAAATATATGAACAAAAATTTCAATATCTCAAGAACACAAAGGTACGGAAAACCAAATCATTCTAGGCTTTTCTATTACTCGCTAGTGCTTATCGAATGAACATCGTCTTAGTCGAAAAGCGATTTGACATCTGAAGATGTTCTCTCATGAGGTCGAAATAGAAGTTTTTCTAACAATTCAACTCAACGCAGTTGCATAAAAAAATTCTAATGAATACATATGTTCTATTCAGATCAAGGAATACAGGCTGATTCCATCAGATCGCTGTCTGTTCTGATCGAAACTAGAAGAATTTGACCATCAGATCCAATCACTGAATTTCTGCTTCCAAGTTCCTACATTTTTCCCGAACTTCCCGACCGAAAATATACGAATCTGGATTCCAGAATCATTAGCCTGAATTGTTTTCCTCCATTGAACGAGTTAGAAAGAATTTTATTGTTATTCATCGCATAAGAGAAAAAATCTGTTTCCTTGATGTCACGATATAACGAAGCTTATTTACTATAGAATACTTTCGAATATTTATATAACAATAGCAGCAGACTTCAAAACAAGGTCATGGCTGAAGCAAATATCATTGATAACAGATGAGTATATTATAAGCGATATTTATGCTTCACAATAGATATCCCATCAATCCACCGGAACAAATGATATGTATGATATTACGCTAGTTGATAAGTATCAATGAATTTTATACTTATGACCCAAAAGAATAGGAAAACACATCAGTACATTGAGAGCATATATACATAAATTATATATACTCATTAAAGAAAGAAAAGAAGAAAATAGCTATAAGATGGTGCGAATGCATGAGAAATATATATATATATATACATATAAGTAAATTGATCTGATAGCAACAATTTTCAAAATTTCTTTAAGTTAAATTGCATTGCATTCGCAGATCTTGAAAAAAAAGACTTACAATTCAGTGATCTCCAAAATTTTGTTTCGACTCAATTCAACTAGACTCATGAATTGAATTAAGTTGCTCGGTTTTGGTTCGATTAGAGTTTAGTGTAATCCTCTACAAAAGCACATTATATAAAACAGAATATTAGACATTATGAGAAAAAACTTCATTGAATGTTGTAGAGGACGTATAATGTGTCTAAAAATTTTGAAAGCCAAGTGCAAGACAAAAATCCACTTCAAGAAAACTATCGAATCTCCACGACGAGTTTTTGTCCCCGCTATACTGAAAGCAACATTTAATGTAGAACTTTCGCATCGTCTTTGTTGTGTATATAAAATTTAACAAAATTTTCATACCAGTTTTATCGAAAACAATACATTTAATTTTTTGTGTACCAATCCTTTCATATTTATGTTTTGCATGTGGAGCTAAAAATAGTTAGAACACAAAAAAACATTGATTAATTTATAAATACAATAAATATATATACTTCGCGGAGATTCTTTCAAGACTCGTTCGATATACGATATACCACGTTTTTCTGTTATATAATCACATAATGGATGAAATGTTGCATGTTCTTCAAATGGACAATCACTAAAATTGAATTGAATCAAAGTAAACAATGAATTATAAATATGAATATTATTTACCGTGGTTCAAAATCAACAAATTTATTACCACAATAATAACAACATACTTTACCATTACCCAAATAAATAAAACCAGCATTAGCCATTGCTACATTTGACAGAATACTACCACTTGGATACATCCAATTAGATTGAAATGATTGAATACGTTTCTCTATTACTGCATACGATGGATATTCTGGATAACGCATATGACTTACATTCTATAGAAAAAAATTGTTTTTGAAAATAAAGATTATCAAAAAAAAGAACAAAATTTCATACCATGCTGACATTTGGATATAGTCCACCTAGTTCTCGTCTAACCCATAGACACCATGAATGATTTTTATCTATAAATTGTCCACTTTCATGCCTATGTACACGCATTGCTGTCCATGGTTCATCATTTAATGGTGAACCAGGAATAGGTGGTCTTACATGTGTTATATTTTCAAATTTTTGTTCAGTTAATTCAACAACACACCATGGACATTTAATAACAGTACC